GGAAGAAGGGGTGGCTGAGGTGGTGATTTCAGTGAAAATGAAGGGTAGGAGTGATATAGAAACGGTGGTGGGGCCTCTAAAAGACCGCAGGTGGCGTACAAATTTGTCGGCAAAAAGTTCCATCACAAGGTCTAGAAATTAGTGGACGGTTGATTTTGTTGGGGATTCTCCTATGGGATTTGTAGGGAGGAACAGTTTTTCAGCTGATGCATTCAACAAAACACCCTCCATTGAAGTTTCTGGCTATAAAATATGAAAAAATTTCAAGAAAAAAATTCAGGCAGTAATCTCAAATAAACACAGATCAATCTTACCACATGCTAAATATGTTATTAAAATTAATTGTTAACTTTGATTTAAATTAAAATTTAGATTTCAATCGATACCAAACATGACTTTAAAAACAATAAAAAAATATATCAAAAGTTGGGGGGCACGTGCCCCCTATGACCCCCCTGGGTCCGCCAGTGTGTGGCAATGGGCGTGGGTATGTGTGGGGGTAGATGGAGAAGAAGAAGATTGAGTTTTTATTTTTTTTATGTAATTCTTTTATTTTAATTTTTTTTATACCCATTTGTCCTTTAAAATTAGTCAACAATTGATCGGACCTTTGATTTTTGGTCAACTAATGGTCAACCTAACGGTTTCTGTCAATTGCACTCCAAGTGTGAGTTATTTAAATGTTTGGTACCGTGAGTGGCACAAATGGAAGGTTTAGACAAATTGTGCAACTAAATGAAATGTTTAATACCGTGATTGCAATTTTTCCTATTTTTTTTTCTCAATGTCTTAATTTAAGGTCAAGCTATTTTCAACCGCTACCATATAGCTTTCATTTCTATTTGATGGTACAACATTGACACTCCTATCCATGCTTTAGAAATTTATAAGGTTTCTAGAGATTTCTCCATATCAAAATCCAAGATTTTAAGGTGTTGATAAAACACATATTTTAACTATAACAAATTTTTGTGAAGGGTGAATTATCGGGGTTCGATGGACATGAGGTGGGGAGGTGGTGGGAGTTCGTCTCGATGAAATTGTTGTTTTTCTTTTTCCCTTTATTTTTTCTCCAATTCCTTCTTTCATACTTATTTTCTTTATGAATGTGTTTGGCATATGCTCATTTGAGAATAGTTTGTGAATTGGACAACATTTGACAATATGTTCAACTTAAAGAACAATTTTACGATGTGATTATGTCTTCGTTGAGTTTTAAAAAAAGAGACCTAAAAGTGCCAAAAATGACGAGGGTGACCTACATATAGATGTCTGTTTGAAAATGTTAAATCGAATTTCAATTTACAAAAAGGACAAGCAAGGAACGATAAAACATTTTCTTATTTATTTAGAAATTATGTTTGCGTTCTCTTCACTCATAAAACGGTAGGTGACTTTGGGATGCATGAGTAATTTACTTGTTTTATTCTCTAATCTTCACTTCGCCTTATAGTTTGGATAAAACACTCTATAAAAACCATTAGAAACATTATGGAATATGAAATGTACATTCAGGGTTCACTGACCATTAACTATAGAACGATAATGTAATGGATGGTAGATAGGTAGAATCATTCCTGAGGAAACTTGTCATAATATATTGCAAGCATTTCAAATAAGAGTAAGAATACTTATTACATGAGTTCTAATAATTTAATCAGTGATTAAAATAGGAATCAAGATCACATACCTGACTCATCCAACAAATCGGAAATATCAAAAAAATGGTAATGTTCTCTTGTATGTTTACTAAGCTTTGGTGCACTTAGTGGCCGTGGACTCAATTTTTTCATCTCAGGGCACTGTTCAATGGTCAAATCCTCTAATGAAGGGAACACAAGTTCATAGTTCTGAGAGCAAAACATTTGAATACTTGAAAGATCCTCGAGTTGTAGACGTTTCATATTAGGGAACACAATTATGGTTTTCATTCCTTCAACTGTTTTAATCTCTAAAGTGCCTTCTTCTTCTTTTCCAATAATCTCTTCAATTGATTCACAATTTGAAACCTTTAGAAAGTCCAGAACCACAAGAGAATTGGCTATTGAAGGTGAAAATAAGTATCTTAAGTTCTCACAAGCATAAACATTGAGATTTTTTAAATTTTGGAAGACACGAATTTCTTTTGGAACCATCCTTGTAATGTGCACCAATTTTGGTAGTGAGCGCAGCCACAATGATGTTAATCGACCAAGCATATTAATTTCTGCATCATCATTAGTGACATTTATACCCTCAAAATCAAACAATACTTCAAGTGCATTACATCCACGCACACGAAGTCTTTCAAGATTTTGCAGTAACTGAATTGAATCAGATTCTGCAATAGTCAGCAATTTAGAACAATCAAGCACCCGCATGTCTGTTAGTTTATGCAGAGATGTTATTGGCATTTCCTTGCCTAGTAGCTTTACTATACAATCGAACCCATCAACACGCAGCAAATCCATGTTAGGAAAGTTGACCTGCGAAGTTCAATTAGTTGATAGGAATCATGAAAAAGCTGTAATTGTTAACGTAAAATAACATGAGGCTCTACAACGGTATTGTTTCTTCTAAATTTTGCCCGTGTTTGGTTCAACTAAAAAAGTAAATTAAAATTTAAGTCAAATTGAGTAATCAATTTTAACCACATATCCACAACTTATCAATCACACATTTTATTAACTTTTATCAAATTTTACTCAAAATATGCCCATGTTTGGTACAGCTAAAATTTACTAAAAATCTGATTTTGATTTTATTCTCCCAAACAAGAGCATTTTTTTTTTATCTGAGCCAAATGGGGGCTTAGGTTTTGTTAAGGTGTTCACTCGGATTAATAATATTGTAATCATAAAATTCATTGATTTGTACTAAATGACCATTCTAATATTTTTGCTCAACTGTTTATGATTTGTTCATTTGGAACACATTTTCGAGTATATCTAATTTCCAAAATTTGTCTTATTCTTCAGATTTGATACAGACGAACTAAACACTCTTTATAACAAATAAGGACTCTTGGATGCACAGAAAAGGAAAGTTGAATACGTTACCTGATTGAACAATGTTTGATGAACAACACCGCTATTTGATTGAGATGTGAAGCTCTTAAATCTACTCAAATTCACCAGCCTGACTTTTTTCAGTTTTGGAAACTCGAGCATTTTGCAAGTTTTGGTAACTTCATTTTCTCGTGCGTCCGTTGAAACAACTTCCTCTAACATCACACATTTCAATATGAATAGAATTTGGAGATTTACCAATCTGTTTGCAACTGACTCTGGAAACAAGCTTCTAATTGCATTACAAGAAGACATCTTAACTGTCATAAGGTTACAGAACAATTGAGGTTTGATGACACCCCTTGGAAGATTTCCATTGCATATCTCTATTAACTTGGGTAAATAATTCAATTCGAGAGACTCCAATTTACC